TCAGTTCAGCTGACAGTCGGAGCACCAGCAGCTGGACACAGCTGACACTGTATATATATAGACCACTGTCACTCCGACACTGACACGGACTGGGACGGCACGACGGTGTGACATCACACTGGCCTCCAACACGGCCTCCAACAGCTGCACCCGGCTGTGGGCACGGACACACCGGCTGCAGCCAGTAACGCTCGCCGCTGTGCTGGAGCCGCCCGCTGGCCACAGCAGCGACGGGGGCTGACAATCGTCCCGCACTGCAACGGAAAGGCCACACGACGGCAACGGTGGTGACTGCTGTGGTGGGATTTTCCGATAAATACGGGAATGGTTCTGAGCTCGGTATTATTTTGTGTGTATTTGACGACGGGTGACCGGTTGATTTTGTGAGTGCATTGATGGACAGACAAGGGTAGTTGATTTTGTGAGTGCGTTGATGGACAGGCGAGGGTGATTAGTTGGTTTAGTGAGTGTGTTGATGGGCAGGCGAGGGTGATTACTTGGTTTTGTGAGTGTGTATCTGGACAGGCGAGGATGATAAGTTGATTTTGTGAGTGCGTTGATGGCCAGGCGGGGGTGATTAGTTGATTTTGTGAGTGCGTTGATGGACAGTCGAGGGCCCGTGGTTGACAGCGAGACAAGCCGGCTGCTGGATGTGCTGTGACAGTGTGTCGGTGCTTGTTGTCGGTGTCGGGTGGTGCAGCTGGCGGCGGCCCGCTGCCATACGGGAGCGGTCGGTCGGCAGGCCGCTCGGCGGCTCGTCCAGCCGGTAGTTGGTGTCAGATCTCTGAGACCGGTGTGTCAGAGCCGGTGAGCCCGGTCAGGGCACGGCCGGAGCACGGCCACGGCCCCGGCGGCGGCACGGCGTGCTTGTCAGTGGGCCGGCCGTGACCTGGCGGTGACCGGTCGGTCTGTCTGCCGACCGGCCAAACTGTACTCAGGTCATCAGGACATTAGCACAGATGATGAGGTAAGCTCCGAAGGTAGCTGTTTTCCAGGACAAAGACTGGACATGTGTAAAATGTATTAGTCAAAGCGCAGCCGATTATCAGTAGCATGGCCAAGTGATAACTAAAATCTAAAAAGCCGTTCCGGAGACGGAGTCAAGGCAGCTTGATCGACACGGACTCCGACTCCGACTCCCAATCGGTCGGTAGCCCAATTACCCCCTGTACGAAGCAGAGGACACAAAACATGGCGGCGCGCACCCGGGCCGTGACGGCGTGCTTCCGTGAACCGAGTCGGACACACGCGAGGACACTCGTTATGACCGGTGCCGTAAGAGCTCTACACAATTCAGTAGCATCCAGCTGACTATATCCGGCCGTTGGATAGCCGGCTATATCATACTCAGGGCTACATTATCCACAACACCCTACCGGTAATTACCCACTACATCGCATCACTTCATCCAATTGCCCACAATACTCGCCCGGTAATTAATTGCCCTAGGCTACCGATAGTACAGCTGAAGCGTCTCTTCTCGTGTATATGTAAAGTAGACATCTGACGCACCAATCAGCTGGCTGACCAATCAGCTGACTGACCAATGGTCAGCTGACGGACCGGTCCCCGCCCCGGGCCGGGTGACGGCCGCCGGCCGGGACCGGAGCGGGCGGGCGCGGCGCGGCCGGCCGCCGTCTGAACTGGCACCGCGTGTATATTGCCAGCTCGGACGGCAGCTAGCCAGTAGTCGAGTAGAGCTGTCCGTGTGGGACGTGTCACAACACGCTCAGCACGGCGCTCAGCACCGCCGAGCCGAGGTGCAGCCAGACCCGGGGGGAGCGGTCACGTGACCGAGCCGTCCGACTCCACCGGGGGACCGTCACGTGACCGAGGCCGGCCGTGCCGCCGGGACCAGGCGCGGTGAACTGAGTCGGACGGTCAGAGACGTGTGTTCTACATACAGAATAGCGTAATGCCACGATCGGTAGCACATCACTTTTCACTGTCCAATTACCCACAATACCCAACCGGTAATTACCGACTACATCACATCTCCCGTCCAATTACCCACAATACCTACCCGCCCGGTAATTACCCACTAGATCATATCCGTCCAGCCAATTACCCACAATACCCGCCGGGTAATTACCCACTACATCACACCCGTGTGCTACTACTACATCTACACTACTACTACTACAGCTAAATCACTACACTAGAGCGGACACCGGGGCCGTGTGCCGGCTGACCGGCGCCGCTCTCAGTGCCGGCTGGTGCAGCCCACACGGCAGCAGTCAGCTGGCGGCCCCGGCCGACTGGCTCGGCCTCTCTGCAGTCAGCTCATCACTGCACGGTCGGTAGTGCAGCGCATCAATACTACCACAGACACACTCTGACCCCATCGCCTTCCTGGCTCTCCAGCTGACAGTACAGCTGCCCTGTGGACAGAGCAGAGACACGTCTGAGGTGGACACGTCACACACAGACAGACACACAGACAGCGGCACAGCCATGTCCACACACCGCCGGCCAGTGACGTCACACACACAGGACAGACGGCTGACGTGACGTCACCGTAGGCCGTGGTGGCCGTGACGCGTCACGTCGCCGTCCGTGACGCGGCCTGCGGCGGTGGTCGAGTGTGTGTGTCTGAGAGGCCGGTGGCGCCGTGCAGCGTCTGTTGTGAGGGACTGACTGGTCAGAGGCGCGGCGCGCGGCGCCCTCTCACCTACCGGGGACCCAGAGATAGATGGTACGGGGCTCGCCATCACTGTCCCGGCGCAGGTCCGCCTCCTTCAGGGCGGTCAGCACGGCCTGGCCGGTGTCTGCCGTGCAGTGAAGGCGCAGTCTGTACAGCTCCCGACACGACTTCACCAGCCTGTAACAGAGCAGAGCAGCAGAGCCGTCACACACAAACACAACGGCACCAGCCGGCCGGACGTACGAGTCAGTGTCAGTGTGTCAGTGTCAAATGCCAATGTATAAGTGTGTCAGTGTCAGGTGTGACATTGCCAAAGTCAGTGTCAGTGTCAGTGTGTCACTGTGTCAGTGTCAGTGTGTCAGTGTCAGTGTGTCAGTGTCAGTGTCAGTGTGTCAGTGTCAGTGTGTCAGTGTCAGTATGTCAGTGTCAGTGTCTGACAGGACACCCCTCGCCAGTGTCTGCTGACTGACCTGGTGACTGCTGCTGCTGTGAAGGCCGTCTCTGCCGGCCGCTGGAGGTCCCCCAGTGTAAGGACCCCCAGCCCGGGGCAGCCGCTGAGACTGTCCAGCACGGCGTCAGGGACGCCGCCGGACAGGGTGAGACTCTCCAGCTTAGGGCACCTGGTGAGGGGCTCCAGGCTCACGGTGTCAGGGACGCCGCCGGACAGGGTGAGCCACCGCAGCTCAGGGCACCTGGTGAGGGGCTCCAGGCTGCCGGTGTCACGGACGCCGCCGGACAGGGTGAGACGCTCCAGCCCAGGGCACCTGGTGAGGGGCTCCAGGCTGCCGGCCGTGAGATCATGACAGTCTGGAAAACACACAGACACACATACACACAGGATCAGCCGACTGGGGTGATGACTAGCAGACGCCAAGGCTGATGCACGATATAATGGAAAAATACAATCACCTCGCACTTTGCAGACTTCCATCGGATCTCAATATAATGGCACAATCCTGCTTTTACGACCAAAATATGCAATGCGTTCAGCTAATGAAATCTGTTTTCTCGCGAACGGCAACAGCATTATAATGTGTATGTGGTATGAGACTTCATATATATCGTGGGTTTCATAAATATGTCTGCCTGAATTTATATCAAGTGCACTAACTCCATTATTTCGAAAAATATCATAATGGGACAGTGTTTTACGTTGTAAGTACCTACCGGCATCTCTACACGTATGTTACTATTTACACGTCCAGTCATAACACCACACCGTTACTCGGTGACGGGCGACGGCCACTCACTGAGCTCGTATATCAGCAGCCTGTCCGTGCTGCCGCTGCTCACCGTATATCTCCAGTAGTGTGACCGTCCGTCCCAGGTCAGCCAGGTGACTGATGGTGTCGGCAGCCACCCCCTGGAGCGACACTGACAGATCATCCCATGGTTTCCATTCCGGCCAGCTCGGCTCCGTCACCTCCGGCCCTGTCGGACAGAGCTGTGTCAGCTGACTGCAGTCGGACAGAGCTGCCGCCAGCTCCCCGGTGCACCACTGACACCAGAGTGTCAGACACTGACACAGCCAGCACTAGCACAGCCGAACGGCTGAACAGCGCTATTTAGCACCAGCAGTGATATGCAAAATGTAAATATGAACATAATAAGTAGATGCGATAAGTATAGGTATGCATAATACGTATACAGCAGTCTATGAAACTACTTATACGACTCTTATTGGTTGCACTATGTCTATAATCATTCTTCATTGGAATACGTGCTCACTAATTGTAGCAATGCCTGCATTCCCGTGCTGGCCGCCTTCGATCGTGGCGCCACCTATACTCTGTATAACCGCCGCGCCAGGGCCGCGGCCAGTCAGTCCCGTCAGTCTGCTCAGACTCGTCGTAAGCGAGCTATCTATGTAGTCAGTCAGTGTCAGTCGTCAATTAATACTCAATACGATTGTTCGGAAATTTGCTGCTTGTGACAATGCAACTATCGCTAGTACCTCAACTTTTAAATCACCCGGTGACGTTACACAATATTCCACGCATATGCCACAAGCATGAACACTATCGAAGGGCATGCATTGAACCCCTCCCCCCTCTCACCACAATACGAGTAATATACACGATTAACGACGAAACTTGCTAGTTGAGGCTGATTGGTTCGTCCATATGCCATCTTCGCTGACCATTTGCATATACCGGCATTACATGTGTGATCTGCGGTATCTCACCTCTGACATTGAGGCGCCAGAGGCCCTCCGGCAGCTGCCCCCTCAGTAGCGGGAGGTCGGCGGCGGAGACTGATAGGTATCGCAGCCCACGGCACCTGGTGAGGGGCTCCAGGCTGCCGGCCGTGTGATCAGTAAAATCTGGAAAACACACAGACACACATACAGACAGGATCAGCCGACTGGGGTGTTGTAGCAGACGCCAATGCTGATGCACGATAAAATGGAAAAATACAATCACCCCGCATTTTGCAGACTTCTATCGGATCTCAATATAATGGCACAATTCTGCTTTTACCACCAAAATATGCAATGCGTTCAGTTAATGAAATCAGTTTTGTCGCAAACGGGAACAGCATCATTATTTGTATGTGGTATGACAGTTCATATTTATCGTGGGTTTCATAAATATGTCTGCCTCAATTTATATCAAGTGCACTAACTCCACTATTTCGAAAATATCATAATGTGACAGTGTTTAACGTTGTACTTACCTACCTGTCTCTACACGTACATCACTATTTACACGTGCAGTCATAACACCACACCGTTACTCGGTGACGGGCGACGGCCACTCACTGAGCCCGTATATCAGTGGCCTGTCCGTGCTGCCGCTGCTCACCGTATATCTCCAGTAATTCGACCGTCCGTCCCAGGTCAGCCAGGTGACTGATGGTGTCGGCAGCCACCCCCTGGAGCGACACTGACAGACCATTCCCGTACCCTCCCGGCCACCTCGGCTCCGTCACCTCCGGCCCTGTCAGACAGAGCTGTGTCAGCTGACAACAGTCGGACAGAGCTGCCGCCAGCTCCCCGGTGCACCACTGACACCAGAGTGTCAGACACTGACACAGTCAGCACTGAAACAGACGAGCGGCCGCACAACGATATTTAGCACCAGCAGTCATATGTAGAATGTGAATATGAACATAATATGTATATGCGATAAGTATATGCATAATACAGTAGTCTATGAAACTAATTATACTACTCTTATTGGTTGCACAATGTCTATAATCATCCCTCATTGGAAATAACTGCTCGAGTGCTTACTAATTGTAGCAATGCCCATGCATTCCCTGCTGGCCGCCTTCGATCGTGGCGCCACCTATACTCTGTATAACCGCCGCGCCAGGGCCGCGGCCAGTCAGTCTCGTCAGTCTGCTCAGACTCGTCGTCAGCGAGCTCTCTATTAGTCAGTCAGTGTCAGTTGTCGATCAGGCGTGCGTTCGACATCCGGAAAATGAGGGATAATTATCCGGGATCACCGGTAATAATTTGGTATTGCAAGGACTATCGATGCAATAAGTCATATTTTTATATTGCTTTTGCTTCAGTAATGGCTCTTTTACTCATTGGCATGTCCGTAGTGCACGGTGTCAGCCTAAAACACCGAATGATCCCGTTGATCCCGGAAAATTATCCCTGATTTTCCGGATGCCGAATTCGCACATACTAAATACGTTTGTTCGGAAATTTGCTGCTTGTGACAATGCAACTATCGCTAGTACCTCAACTTAAAAATCACCCCGTGACGTTACACTAATATTCCACGCATATGCCACAAGCATGGACACTATCGAAGGGCATGCATTGAACCCCTTCCCCCTCTCACCACAATACGAGACGAGTAATATACACGATTAACGATGAAACTTGCTAGTTGAGGCTGATCAGTTCGTCCATTTGCCGTCTCCCCTGTTTATTTGCATTACCGGCATTACATGTGTGATCTGAGGTATCACCTCTGACATTGAGGAGTATGAGGCCCTCCGGCAGCTGCCCCCTCAGTCGCGGAAGGTCGGCGGCGGTGACTGATAGGCATCGCAGCTCAGGGCACCTGGTGAGGGGCTCCAGGCTGCCGGCCGTGTGATCAGTACAGTCTGGAAAACACACAGACACACATACAGACAGAAACAGTTAGCTGTAATATATGTCGATATAGGACAAAACGAAAAAAACACCTAATAATTCTCATGGTTTTATGGACACAGTAGACAATGGTAAGACAGTACTATTATATGATACCTATATGCAATGTTAAGCAAATGCATTGAACTTCATTGAACAGTGCAACACAATTGTTATGAGTATGATCAACTAACTCTGAACGAATATGTCACTGAGTGAACAGTCCTCCACTTTGGAGCTCAATTGGCTTCATTATTTCGCAAAGCACATTGGCTATGTGTCACTTCTGTCTCCATTAGGTGCGACACCGGCACACCGTTACTCGATGTCCGCCATTCGCTGAGCTCGTATATCAGTGGCCTGTCCGTGCTGCCGCTGCTCACCGTATATCTCCAGTAGTGTGACCGTCCGTCCCAGGTCAGCCAGGTGACTGATGGTGTCAGCAGCCACCCCCTGGAGCGACACTGACAGACCACGAACCAACGGGTTCCATTCCGGCCACCTCGGCTCCGTCACGTCCGGCCCTGTCGGACAGAGCTGTGTCAGCTGACTGCAGTCGGACAGAGCTGCCGCCAGCCCCTGCTGCACCACTGACACCAGAGTGTCAGACACTGACACAGCCAGCACAGACATAGCCGAGCGGCCGCACATCAATTTTTAGGAACAGCAGTCATATGTAAAATGTAAATATGAACATAATAAGTAGATGCGATAAGTATATGCATAATACGTATACAGTAGGCTATGAAACTACCTATACGACTCTTATTGGTTGCACTACGTCTATAATCATCCCTCATTGGAAATAACTGCTCACTAATTGCAGCAATGCCTGCATTCCCGTCCTGAGGCCATTCTTATAAAGAAAAAGGACGGAGGGACGGAAGGAAAAAAAGAACTCAATGAATTAAACGATTCCGTCCTTATTGGTTATCATAAAGGTTCCGTCCCTCTACCCCTCCCCCTTCGTTGTTTTGCTAGGATGCGTTTTTCGTCTAAATGATCAAGAGCTTTAGTAAATGAAACAGGAATTATTTCCTGCAATATTTTCTTATAAATTTGGTCAAAAAGAATGCAATAAAACTAAGAAAATACTTTGTGATCGCCATATAGGTATAATAAAATGAGAACCTGCAATTATTTGGGATCATATTTGAATTTTTATGGGACCGGGGGCTGTTGTCTGCTACGATACATAGCCTTGGCGGCCTTGGCTACGATCGAGGCAGGGCACTAAAGATTAAGGATAATATAGATAGGCTAAGTATGTAATATGTTGTAGTGTTTCCTGCTAGGCTGAAACCAACCAAAGATTGTTATTGCGTATACATGTGGTAATGCCTATGTCTTACTCAGTGATAGGGTGTCTAATAAGCGGTAAGGGAACAACGCAGACACCCTGAGTTAGCGTGGCGGCTCGGGACAGGCGGTAGAGATAAAAAAGGAGGGGATACTGATAAGGCATCTTATCAGCTAGGGGACGACGCGGCGCGCGGCGAACGCGCGCGGCGGCTCGGGATGAAAGGGAGGGAGAGAGGGAAGGAGTAGGTAGAAAGAGAGACGGGGGCGCAGGTGTTGTTTTGACGAACTGACGCTAAAGAGGGGGGAGGGGGAGCGGGGGAAGAAATGGCCTGTGGATCTTCTCTGTGTGGGGACAGCGAGGACAGTCCAGCGAGAGCGCTTGAGCCTGGCGGAGTGTATACGAATTTCTCTGCGTGCAAACAAGAACTTTAAGTGCTAACGAGAAGTTGTAGTGCCACGTGACTCAGACCTCCAACCGTGATACCAGTCGAGGCGCCAAAGGACACAGGACACGAGCCAGGTGAGGGTGGAGCTACTGGGAGGCAGTTGCAAACAGTAAACACCTACCACTTACTGAATATTGTATCTCAAGGTGTCCAATCCTGCCTGTGTATGCCCGATAAACAACGATAGCTGCAGATCGATAAGGTGGCGGTCTATAGGCACTTGGTCTGCATGTCAAATTGACTAATTTTCGTGTGAAATAACTCCCGACCAGTGTCATACAGTTCACATATCGACTAGCATGCAGCCTGAAACACATTTCGCACAAGCTGCTCTCGCAACCAGCTAAATATCGTACCAATGCCGTAAAAAAGCGCTGCTGAAGAGCAGCGCTATTTCTGGTGCGTTATTTTTCACGAAGAACGCAAAGTCTTACGTCACCAGAGGCGTCTTTGTCTCTTTATGATACGGAAACGCGTCCTTTTGGGTGGGGGTAGCGTCAATCTGGCTTCGTTCTTTTAACAGGTTCCGTCTTTCGTCTTCGTCCTTTTATGATAACCAAATTCCGTCTAATCTCAGAAATGACGGAGCGTCCCTCCGTTTTTTTCTTTATAAGAATGGCCACTGGCCGCCTTCGATCGTGGCGCCACCTATACTCTGTATAACCGCCGCGCCAGGGCCGCGGCCAGTCAGTCTCGTCAGCTTGCTCAGACTCGTCGTCAGCGAGCTATCTATATAGTCAGTCAGTGCCAGTCGTCGATTAACCCTCGCCGGACCTATTGGTTTTCTACATACGCGCCGGCCGAGGGGGGGGGGAGCGGGTACGACCCCCACTCGCCGTTTCGCCCCTGGTGGAGCTAGCGCGTCGCAGAAAAAACGAGCGTGTGCGCCGTTACGAGACGCAGAGAATGGTACCCGATTTTAAGGTCCTAGGTCAACCGGTGACCTCTGAGGTCAGGTCAAGTGCCCCAAGGTACGGTTCAGTTTTTGGTGAATAACTTCGCAAAAAACGGCCGCAGAGCCGCGATTTTGGCAGCATCGTGTTTGCCTCGCTCAGGCGCGTCGAATGATATACTTTTTGTTCGGGTCAGGTCAACTTGGGGTTTTGACCTCAGGTCAAGGTCAGGTCAGCACCCTAAGGTCACGAAGTTGGTCGAAAGAGGTCATGTCGCATATCATTCGATTCGGCAGGTCTTCCTGAGTCCATTGGTGGCTTCCGCGACTCGCTAGCTCAATTTGATCAAGAGTTATTGACGAAAAACTAATATGAACTTGATGACGTCATAAATGACGTCGCACAAGGTCAACATTGCAAAATTGACGCATCTAACCTTGCAAGGAGTGCATCAAATCACGATTCTGTGTGCTTGAGGTAGTTGGAGATCGTTCCGGCGCCAGAATAGCAGTTTGAATTTTTTCCAATTGACTTATAATGGTGAGGTCACGAAAATGACCTGACCTCATATGACCTTTAGGAAAAATCCGAGATATAAAAGTTGTGAGACCCATAATGGATACTAGATCCTGCAAGTTTCATTTCCCTGTGACATCTCCTCTGGCAGTGAGGGCGTTGCGAAGTTGCGACATCTGAAGACCGTGCAGAGGTTCACTTATAACGTCATAGGTCAGTGACCTGACCTGACCCGAAAATGCGGTTGGTGTCAAAAGATCCGGCTTGGATCAAAGGTCAGGTATGCCAAGTTTCAGCGTTCTATCGCCAGCGTGTTCGGAGTTATCGCGAAAAAACCCTATGGAGGGGGGCCGCACCCGCCCCCCCCCCTCGGCCGGCGAGGGTTAACCCGCGACCTGGTGGGGGGGGGCTATTTTTTGCCCCCCCCCCCTCCAGACTTTTCGATATATCTCCAGAACCGCTGCGCCGATCGTCACCAAACTTTCAGTACCCTCCCGGACATCACTTTTACACATTGTGACCAAAAATTTTTCCAAAGGCTATGATAGGTTGGCCGGAAATGACGTCAGAGTGACGTCATGTTCTGCCGTTTTCGACCAAAAAAAGGGTTTCGCGGGAAGAGCTGTCAAGCCTATAGCTTTGCAAATACAGAAAAATGATAAAGACATAAAAGCTGTAGAATGAACAGGGCTACAAAACTGGTATCTCGGATTTTTGAAATTTTTGGATTTTGACCCCAAAAAATCAAAAAATATTTTAATGGATATAATAATCGAAAAATCCGAAAAAGTTTTTTGAATTTCGCAAAAACCGGAATATATGTGATAGTCCTTACCGCCTTCCATCCACATACCAAATTTGAGATTAATACCTCTTTTTTGGCTAAGTTATAGCGAAAAAAACTGTTCAAAATTGATGACATCAAATTTTCAAACTCAATTTTTAGCAATTCTAGACCCCGTAGCGCAAAACAAAGACCACCATTAGACTCCCCGTGACGAGCTGCATCGAATCAATACCCATTTTATGCAAAACTATCAACTTTAAAATTTGACCTTTTTTGGCCTGACCTTGACCTGACCTTGACCTGCACTTCACCAGAAAGTGACCTAAGCCGTACCTGATAGTCTTATAACCAACACCATTGAGTTGGAAATAAAAATTGGCCATAAAACATGCATCACACAACCTTAGTAAAGTTGGGCTCATGTGACCTGACCCGTGACGGCCGTGACCCTTGGAGACCTGACCTGTGACCTGACCTGGTATTGTCAGTGACCTCTAACAGCAACATATCTACTAGGCAACTGACGCCCTATCGCTGATTCTCGACAAAATGCGTTTTCCTCGGTGTTATAGCGCATTCCCTAGAGGACCCGTGAACGGTGAAACATTTCATCTTTGACCTGACCTGTGACGTCATCGGTGACCCCGAGGTCAATGAAATTTGGTTTCCTTCGACAAATTTGACAGGCCTTTCGAACGCCGTTTGAATTTTGCGGATCCGTCCAGTAGTTTCGGAGATACGAGGGGGGCAAAAAATAGCCCCCCCCCCACCAGGTCGCGTTATAAACAGACCCCACCAGGGCGCGGGTTAATGCTCAATACGTTTGTTCGGAAATTTGCTGCTTGTGACAATACAACTATTCCTAGTTCCTCAACTTTTAAATCACCCCGTGACGTTACACTAATATTCCACGCATATGCCACAAGCATGAACACTATCGAAGGGCATGCATTGAACCCCTTCCCCCTCTCACCACAATACGAGTAATATACACGATTAACGATGAAACTTGCTAGTTGAGGCTGATTGGTTCGTCCATTTGCCGTCTTCGCTGACCATTTGCATATACCGGCATTACATGTGTAATCTGCGTTATATCACCTCTGACATTGAGGAGCATGAGGCCCTCCGGCAGCTGCCCCCTCAGTCGCGGGAGGTCGGCGGCGGTGACTGATAGGTCCTGCAGCCCACGGCACCTGGTGAGGGGCTCCAGGCTGCCGGCCGTGTGATCAGTACAATCTGAAAAACACGCAGACACACATACAGACAGGATCAGTTAGCTGTAATACATGTCGATATATGACAAAACGAAAAAAACACCTGATAATTCACATGGTTTTATGGACACAGTAGACAATGGTAAAACAGTGCTATTATATGATATATGCAATCAGTTAAGCAAATGCATTGATATTTGAAATTGTTTAACGGACTTTCACTGGGTAGTGGGTAAAAGTTATTATTGGTCCCGGTACTCCGACTTGTATGGAAAAGTCTTCGATGGGGCACACATAGGTTTAAATTTTGTCTGTTTTAAACCTATGTGTGCCCCATCGAAGACTTTTCCATACAAGTCGGAGTACCGGGACCAATAATAACTTTTACCCACTACCCAGTGAAAGTCCGTTAAACAATTTCAAATAAGCATTTACCTGGGTATTAACTATTAAGACATGACTCTTCAGTCTCACTTAACAAATGCATTGAACTTCATTAAACAGTGCAACACAATTGTTATGAGTATGATCAACTAACTCTGAACGAATATGTCACTGAGTGAACAGTCCTCCATTTTTCAGCTCAATTGACTTCATTATTTCGCAAAGCATATTGGCTATGTATCACAGCTAGGTCTCCATGAGGCTCGACAACGGCAAACCGTTACTCGGTGTCCGCCATTCCCTGAGCTCGTATATCAGCGGCCTGTCCGTGCTGCCGCTGCTCACCGTATATCTCCAGTCGTCCGACCGTCCGTCCCAGGTCAGCTAGGCGACTGATGGTGCTGGCAGCCACCCCCTGGAGCGACACCGACAGACCACTCCCGTACCGTTCCGGCCACCTCGGCTCCGTCACCTTCAGCCCTGTCGGACAGAGCTGTGTCAGCTGACTGCAGTCGGACAGAGCTGCCGCCAGCTCCCCGCTGCACCACTGACACCAGAGTGTCAGACACTGACACAGCCAGCACTAACACATCCGAGCGGCTGCACAACGATATTTTTAGCAACAGCATACATACGTAAATATGCAAATATGAGCAACATAAGTATTACGATTTTTGCAAGGCACATTGGCCTAGGCACTGGGCAGCCAGTCATGGTATAGTAACGGATCAGGTTGGTAGACAACATAAATATATGGTTCGCAGTGGTTGCAATGAAACCATTTCAAATTACCATAATTGCTACAATAATATTTCATGCATGTACTTGATGCTCACACTATATGCAAATGCATGCATTGCATCACTCTAACAATACCATATAACACAAACAAGGCTGTAAGATGTTGGCTGAATTCGAACGGTTCGTCCATTTGCCGTCTGTCTCCCTGTTCATTTGTATATCCATGTGCATTGTCCATTATACCGGCATTACATGTATGATCCGTGGTATCTCACCTCTGACATTGAGGCGCCTGAGGCCCTCCGGCAGCTGCCCCCTCAGTCGCGGGAGGTCGGCGGCGGAGACTGACAGGCGTTTCACAGTCTCCCGTGAGCTCTGCAGCTCCGTCAGCTCGCTGTCACCGACTCCGGCCGGAAGGATAATAGTGTTTGGGCCCACCCTGATGATGGGACCACGAAGTTGACTTGGAATAGTAGTAATTTGTGCTGGAAAGGTGATTGAACCAATGTCAGACATTTGTCTAGGTCAAACATTGTACACTTACCTACAGGTGTAGAAAACAAAGAGTGAAAATTGTTTGTGGCTACAATGCTGTGATAATTCCGTGTCTGAGTAAATATGTACTTTATCAAAACGATGTGAATTGCATTAAGTACGGTGATTTTCCGTAACAGAATACTCAACGAATAAAATGATAATGGCTCTTTGACATATAAAACAAAAATCGCAATTAAATTAGTACATTATACCTATTCCGAACTATACATATTTTCATAATGTCAATTGATCAATCTGACAGCTTTTGAAACCTTCTCACATAGGTTCAGCTCTCATCTGTAGCTAATTATTTCAACTATGTATCGTGATTAATTTTGTAGCGTACATATTACGTCCAATACAGTATTACGTCCAATACAGGCCCAAATCATTGACCATCACCATTCACCACACGACTTTCATCTCATCCTACGGCTTACCATGGCTTATGGCTTCCGTCTCACCCAGGCATCGGTAGGATTGTGATTGCAGGATTGCAAAATCCTGATTGCATTCCTTTTTGGTGGATTGCACCTGGATTGGATTGCATCATACTTCCAATTTTTGCAATCCAATCCGGATTGTGTTTGATTAGTGCTTTGAAATGGTTTGTTGCGATTGAAAATTATGAGATCGGCTTCATCGGCTTAATGTACTTTGCTATCAAGGGCTTTACATCGAAACTTGAAATAATTTAAACGCTTTTAATCTAAACGCTCAAGATAATATACGTAATGTACTTTGCTATCAAGGGCTTTACATCGAAACTTGAAATAATTTAAACGCTTTTAATTTAAACGCTCAAAATGATATACGCTGATAAACTATAAAGTAAGGGCAAAACTACGTATTTGAGGGCGAGTTTTAAAAAATATTAAACACTGGTTGGGTAGAGGTTTAAATGTGGGGGTGTTTGAGGCAAAAACTATTTCCCATAAAATACATGTGCCTTAGATAGGAATTACTCGCAAGACTAGGTACTAAAAATGGGTGATTTGGGGATGAAGGCACGGCCCTATGCCCCCTTCCCTCCCCCAGATCCACTAGTGCACATAATAATACAACAGGATTGCAAAAAAGGATTGCGGAATTGATCACAATCCAAGTGAAAAAAGGGGATTGCGGGAAGGAATGCAGTCCACTTCGGCACTAGGAATGTGGATTGGGAATGCAATTCTTTCAAAAAGGATTTTACCGATGCCTGGTCTCACCTTAGGATGAGGCAGCATTACCTACAGTAGGTAGGTACATGTGTTTGATCCAGTAATTCTTGGTTTGATTTAGGCTTCAGAGTGTCAAGTATAAACTGTTTCTCCACATTATTTATGAACATTTGCTAGAAAAAATAGGCAGTACCTTAGAGCAAAAATCACAAGCTAGGAACGGTATTGCCGGCCTGTTTCTTCGTTCTTGGTGTCACCGTGTCGCACCCCTGCCCCGTTCAGGAGCGCCCGGCAGCGCCACCTGCACCTGACCAGTCCGGCAGCGTTTGGGGTCGCCGCGCATCGCCGACAATCAGCTGACGCGGCCGGCAGCGCGTCTCAAGGTCACTGGAGGTCAGCCGGGCCGCGGGCCGCCGGGGTGGCCGTGACGTCACAGCCAGCGAGCGCTGAGCGCCGGAACACCCACTGTTGGTTTATCACCTCCTAACCATTCCATTCATATATGAGTAACTTCAATCGCTGCTCACCATCTGTGACTAGTAGCGTAATCCGAGACCCCAGCTCCGTGGCCAGGTGGCTGATGGTGTCGGCAGACACCCCCTGGAGAGATACCGACAGACCACTTCCGTACCCTCCCGGCCACCTCGACTTCGTCACCTCCGGCCCTGTCGGACAGAGCTGTGTCAGCTGACTGCGGTCGGACGGAGCTGCTGCCGGGTCGGGAGGCGGCTGACACTGTGGTGTCAAACCCTGACACAGACGACACTGATAAAGCCAGGGTCGATCGGCACTGTTGGACAGTAATTGAACATTGTGCACAATGCATGCACTACGCTTATACATGCGTCAGTTAATTAATACAGTTCAGTACATACAGGTCATACAGGTTCAGTACATACAGGTCATATTCGTTTGCAATAGTATAAAGTAGGTATGTACAGCCCACCGCTAAAGTAATGTAGGGTTTTACCAATCTCAACGGTTGGCTTTGACTGGCGGTTGTTTAATGCGGAGTGATCGAAAAGAAGATGTCAATAGCTAAAGTTGCAGCTGCAAGGGTGACGATACATATAAGCTACATTTAAAGTTTCATTGTAGTCTGGCTAATCGTTCCTAAGCTTCAGAAGCAGAACAGTACCCATGACTGAAACCCCACATTACTTCTGCTGTGAACTGTACATACAATACAGTGGCTAATATTTGTGTAGCATGTAGGTAGCATGGCACACATATGTCCGCTGAACGTTTATCACTGAAACTGTTACTTTATGTACCATGTAAGTACCTACCACCATTCAGAAGTAATAGTACGCGTTTCCTCAACTATTTCTCACCGGCAACGTATAGCGTCCTGAGTGACGTCGGCAGCAGCCGCAGCCACCGCCCCGTTCCGAAGGACGGGACCCTGACGGTCAGCTCCTCCAAGCGGGGAAGACTCTGCAGGAGCGCCGTCAGCTGATCCTCGCCAAGGGCTGACGGAGCGTCGAACGTCGTCACGGTCCTTAGCGCCTCTCTCAGCACTGTGGCATCACTGTGTGCCGATGGCTGGGGCTCCGTCTGTACCGTGACGTCACTGTCTGCCAATGGCCGGGGCTCCATCTGCACCGTGAGGTCATGAAACGCTTTTGTAATTTTACTGAAAAGACAAGAAAAAGTACATACATCAAAATCAGTGGCGGATCTAGGATTTGAGTTTAGGGGGGGCAAACATTGCGCCGCCAGGCAAGTCGGCGAGAATTTCAAACGTCCAGTCTTAGGAACAAAAAAAACGAGCTACCCCTATTTTTCTCCTCGGATTTCGGATTTTTTTTTTGATTTTTTACATTTTTGTCAGTCCGGCCAAGCCAGGGCAGCGCAAAAAAAATGCAGCCACCCTGACTCCGGGAGATAGAGAATAGCTCACCGGCGCTATGGACGGTCCGTCCTCTACCTCCCGCATTACCTCGGCAAGACCTCGTCCGAAAGGTCCGCCCGCGCCGGTTCTCAAGGGCTTCTGTATCCGGAGACCGATAAGGGTCGCAGCAGCAGGTTCATGTGTAAATGCCCACGACCAAAGGCCACATCAGCGTACCTGCGATACTATACGCAGTCAGGGTTGCCACGTAGTTAAACGTATTAACAGTTGTTTCCGGTAATAGAAAATGAGATCAGTCGATTAAGAATCCCAACAAGAAATAGACGAAGAACAGCGCATTTGTTTTCGGTCCCGCATTTATTGATGCAATTACAATGAACATTCCTTAACTTTGGGACTAAACTTCGCGAGCTAGCAAAATCATACAATAAGTGTTACTTTCGAGAGGAGATAAACGATGCTTCTACAGACTAGATGACCACAGCGCAACAGCCAACGGAATCACACTGAACAGCGTTAAGTTCCCACAACATACTGAGCTTCTCCAACACCTCGCAAACCAAAAGCTCTGACTGAGCCTTTCTGTGTTTGTCCCCGTTAGATAACGGTATGGCTCATGAAAAAGCCGCGATTGGTTATCTTCTTTACGTTATTCCTCTCAGAAACCTATCTCGCTATTATATTATGCAAACACTTCTTATATACCCATGCAAACCCACCACTGTCCAACCGCTCACCAGTGTGGTGACCCCTGACCCCACTGGCGTCTGGCGGTCTGCTGTTGACGGTTTGTTTACTTGTTCAAGGTTTCAATAAATCGCGTTATTTTTTTTTTTTTTTGGTAGCAGTAGCAGTAGTAGCACTGCTGATGGATGATGGACTGATATTCATGGGGCGGAGGACTTTTTATCAGCTCACAACTTAATATCACGAATATGGCAACCTTCTTGTCCTCCATTTATTTCACATTTTCTTTTCAAACACCATATTTTTAGTATTCAAGTTGTAGTTTTTTAGGGGGGGGGGCAAAAAGATATGTTTGCCCAGAGGTTTTCCGTTTAGGGGGGGCAATTGCCCATTTTGCCCCAACGTAGATCCGCCACTGATCAAAATGCAAAAGAAGTTTACAACTTTAGTTGGCTCCTTTGATGATCCGATATGCATTTACATATTGTCGTCAGCAATAGTAGGTATGTTATCAAATCTATTCGGTTGTACATATAAAATCGTTCAGAGTTGATTTCATACGAATCTGAAGGATTTGATACGACCGACTAGATTTTGTGACACGAATTATGATGAAGACATGTAAATACCAGCGGGATATGATGCCCCGAACTGGCCAACTGTATACACCGGCTGTCGAAAACTGGAACAAAACGATCGAGACTAAACGGCTAACTTGCAGAAGATGGTACGAATTTAAGGCATGCGCCAGCCCGCGCCCGCTGTGCGCTGGTCTAGCCACCTGGTGGTAACATGTGTCACTAGTGTTAGGGTGACCTGCCGAGAGCGTGAGCGCCTCGAGTGACCGCCGGCTGAGCCGGCATTGTGTGTGTTGGCGCCGTGCTGTGCGCATCCGTCTGCTCGTCCGGCCGCAATAGAGTGTCTCGCTGAAGCTCGGGTGTCTACTACTGGTGTGGTGGCAGCGCCTTTGCCCACCTCTCCTAGTGCCACGCAAGACATTGCTTCTCCTCTGCAAGGATCAGCGAGCTTTGCTCAATCTGCATCGCCAGCGCTCTACGCACCGGACTTGGAGCCAAGATGGCGGGCGTTCGTGCCCCGAAGCAGTGGTCACTGACAAAGGACGAGTCAATTACGTCATTCGAGAGTTGGCGCCAAAACCTGCTCTATACCCTGTCGCTCGATAATATTTTCGCAAAGTTTCTCGAGCAGGGAGTCGTGTGGCAAAAGAAGACGGCTGACTGTCCGACACGTGGCTTCTCCGACGACAGCTCGAACGTCCCCGCCTCCAGCCGTCTCACCGCCGCTCAGAAGACAGTCCAGCTGTTGTTGTTGTTGTTGTTGTTGTTTGTTCCCTCCAGGTCGACCTCAGTCGACTGTAGCCTGACGGCTCTGCAGGGTCCTGAACGCGGCCGCCAGGGCCGCGACAACTCCGTCGCTCCGCACCTCTTCCCTGTTGGGTCTGATTGTCCCGGTGAGTCGCAGCCTGGCGCCCATCAGGGCCGGACACTCGACCAGGACGTGGTACGGAGTATCCGCCGTCTCTCTGCACAGGGGGCAGCGGGCACCCTGGCAGTCCACGTCTTCGCACTGCGGGCAGTGTCGCGACGGGTTCCGGCCGATTCGGTGGAGGTACTGGGCGGAGCCTGACCAGTGCCCCGCTCGCAACTGGTGCACATCCACCGCCGCTGCTCGATCCAGGTGTCTGACTGGTCCCGGCAGCTTCGCTCCCATGAGGCTGCGGTACCATCCGCGCGGCCAGTCGCTGACCCACTGGTCCCGCGCCGTCCTTGCCACCGCGCGGTACACCCTCATGGCGTCGACGGGGACTTCCTCTTGGTCCAGTGCTGAAGCTTGCTTCGCCAGCTCGTCCGCTCTCTCGTTCCCGGGCAGGCCGCAGTGGGAAGGTACCCGGTAGGTACACCTGCCGCGGGCCGACAGCTGTTGAAGCGCCGCCCAGATTTCTCCTCCTATGAGCGTTGTTTGGGTAGAGGGGCCACCCCGGAGTGCCGCCAGAGCTGACTGGGAGTCCGTGCATATCACGATCGGCTCAGGAGGGAGGGTTTGTCGGTCCAGCAGGAACTTCAGCGCTTCTCTGAGGGCTACCATTTCAGCACGGTAGCTGGAGCAGACGTTCCCCGCCGGCACCGTGAGTAGGTGCTGCTGGCCGTCCGGGTCCTCGATGAAAACGCCAGCGCCGCCGTTTGTCATGCCTCCCTCCACCGAGCCGTCGGACCAAACCGAAGTCGCGCACTGTGGCAGACTACCTAGGTGACAGGTCGTCTAGGTCGTTAGCCTCCTGGAGGAGCCGGCCTTCAGACGCCTGGCGTCACGGTGGGAGGTGGGGGCCGTCAGGCCCGCCGCGCCCGGCCTGCAGCCGGAACACGGTCACCAAACGGGCTCCAGCCGTGCCCTCTCCTCAGCGGCCTCCCGCCGCGCCACCTGTTGCTTCGCACCTCTTCCAGACAGTCCAGCTCGAGCTCATGTTAGGGCAGATTGCCAATTTTTGCCCGATCATCGCTCGCAACTCCATTGTGAAAAACTCCACGTCACTGCAGCAGATCTGGCAGTCAATCCGGCTTCACTTTGGATTCCAGTCATCAGGCTCTCATTTGCTTGATTTCACTGCAATTCAGCTGCAACCTGACGAACGACCGGAGGATCTGTTCCAGCGTCTTATGGCGTTCGCCGAGGATAATTTGCTGAAGTCCGACCATGACGTCACTCATCACGGCCTCCTACCGTCGTCGGATGAGGACATGTCGCCATCTCTGGAGAACTTCATCGTCCTACACTGGCTCTCGCTACTGCATCCGCGCCTTCCGGCCCTCGTCAAGCATTGTTACGGCCTGGAGCTGCGAACCCGTACCCTGGCATCTCTGAAGCCGGAAATCAGGCAGTCTATCGACTCTCTTCTCGCTGAGCTGCAGTCTGGAGAACACGCGCAAGTTTTGCGTTCTGCAATCGCCAGGTTCCAGCAAGTTCGCCCCCGCAGTCAGCTGGCTGGATCCGCCTCTGCGGGCCGGCCAACGGCCGTGCCCGCCGGCGGTCGGCCTGCGCCCGCTGCCGGCCGCTCCGCCCCTGCGCTCGGCGGCGGCCGGTCCGGTCCGACTGACCTGTCTGGGAGTGAGCGCCGCGGCGGCCGCGGCCACCGTTCCGTGCGTACATGTGCACTCTGCGTGGCGGCCGGTCGTCCAGGTGCCGACTCGCACTTTTTGAGTCGCTGCCGCTTCTTGCCCATCGAGGATCGTCGCTTCATGGCTGGCGTACGTCTCATCGCCGGATGCGACGACCTCTGTGAGGACTTGGACTCTGAGGGTGCATCTCGCCTCTCACAGACGGACTTTGATAACCAGGTATGTGTTGTCTCTAGTGATGAGGTAGATGCGTGCTCAGAGCTGATATGGGCAGTTGCACTAAACCCGAGTCTTCATCTACTGATGTGATTGACTACGGTCATGATTCAGCTGTCAATGAGGTCAATTAGTGTGTTCGTGACAATATCAATGATTCGTCCGATGTTCCCGCGCGTCGCATCCAGCCCGAGCCTTCGCCGTTTTTACCCGTGCACTGTGGGTCGGTCCCTCTCCGCCTGACTCTCGACTCGGGCGCGGAGATTAACTTGATTCGTGACACAGTAGCCGTTTTAGTCGGAGCCCCTATCTCAAAGACGACTCAGAATGCCTTTCAGGCTGATGGTCACTCTAAGCTCAACGTAATTGGAGAAACTACTCTGATATTGCATCGTGGCTCCCTTGAGATGACACTTCAGGCTCAGGTGGTTCAGGACCTTGACGTCGAGGTCCTTGCCGGCACTCCCTTTATGTCCCGAAACGATGTGTCTGTGCGGCCCGCGGATGGCTCAGTATCCATCGGAGGTGACGTCATCTTCCGCTACCGTGCCCGTTCTCATGTCTCCAAACAGCCCTCTCCACGTCCTGCGAGCTGTTTGATCCGCTCTCCATCTAGGTCAGTAACTCTGTGGCCCGGTGACTTCATCGAGCTGGAGGCTGCTGACATAGACCGTGACGTCGCCGTGTCCGTCGAGCCGTGGGCCTCCTCTCCCGTCCAGGATCCTGGGTCCGGTCCATGGCCTAGTCCAGCTGTTACCGCTGTGGTTGACGGCAAAATTCGTGTGCCAAACAACACCGGCTCACCTCTTAGGCTGCAGAAAAACTCTCATTTCTGCAAAATATTTTCCGTATCGTCCCCACCCGTGATCTCTCCGGCGCCAGCTTGCTCTCCGGCACCTCCACAGTCTCCGCCGGGCTCCTCAGCCACGCTGGTGTCCATTGATCCTCCTGGACTGCTTTCGGACTCTGTAAGGGCCGAGTTTGCTGCTACTATCGCGCAGTATGACTCGGTGTTTGAACCTGTTTTCCCTGGCTACAACGGCGCTGTTGGAGACATTCACGGAACTGTGAACATCGGCGCGGTTCAGCCTCCTCAGCGCATAGGTCATTTGCCTCAGTATAACCGTCAGCGGCTGTCTGAACTTCAGTCGAAGTTCGACGAACTGGAGGCCCTCGGTGTCGTCAGAAAGCCTGAGGATGTTGGCGTGGCGGTGGAATATGTCCACCCCTCCTTTCTGGTAAAAAAAGCCTAGCGGCGGAAGTCGCCTCGTCACAGATTTCACCACTGTCGGTCGCTTTTGTAAGCCTCAGCCCTCGCTGCTCCCGGACGTTGAGTCCACCCTACGCATTATTGGTAGCTGGAAGTACATCATCGTGACCGACTTGACGAAGGCATACTTCCAGGTGCCCTTGGCACGCTCGAGTCTGAAGTACTGCGGGGTGGTTACACCATTCAAAGAGGTTCGTGTATACACCCGCTGTGCCATGGGATTGCCTGGTTCGGAATCGGCTCTGGAGGAACTCATGAGCCGTATTCTCGGTGACCTGATCCAAGATGGCAAGGTCGCCAAAATCGCTGACGACCTCTTTTGTGGCGGTGCCACACCTGGGGAGGCGCTCGAGATGTGGCACCTGGTTCTACAGGCACTCGACCACTGTGACCTCCGTCTTTCTCCCTCAAAGACGGTCATCTGCCCTCGCTCCGTCACCATTCTTGGCTGGATCTGGTCTGACGGTCAGCTTTCTGCCAGTCCGCACCGTGTTTCGACACTGACCTCCGCGGAACCCCCTCGCACGGTAAAGAACCTTCGTAGCTTTATCGGTGCTTACAAGGTTCTCAGCAGAGTCGTGAAGGGGACGGCACACTACATGTCTCCGCTGGACGCAGTTTGTGCCGGCCGCGAGTCATCTGAGGTGATCGTGTGGACAGACGAGCTGTTATCCACCTTCCAGTGGGCTCAGTCGGCCCTGCAGCATCACCGTGCCGTCGTTATACCGCGCCCTTCGGACGATCTCTGGATTGTCACTGACGGGTCCAGCAAACTTCACGGTATCGGTGCGACGCTGTATGTGACGCGGCAGGGGCGTATACCTAACCATGCTAGCTGGCTTTTTCAGCGCACAGCTACGCAAACACCAGATCATCTGGCTTCCATGTGAAATCGAGGCTCTCGCTATCGCCACGGCGGTAAAGCACTTTGCACCTTTTATTAGCCAGGCCTCGTCTCACGTCTGTGTGCTAACCCCTGTCTTCATTGAATTTCTCACACTATGTTCAAAATACCCAACGCTAAAAAAAAATTCCATTTTTAAAAACAGGGTTCAAAAGCAAATTTCTTGGATTGAAGGCACTGATTAGGTCATTGTACACTGTTAAGTGGCTGCCAAGGGGTTTTTTCGGGGTGCTGATCACGAATATTGTGTTTGTTTTGATCACAGATGATGTCTTTAAGCATTTAGACCAGGTCGGGTCAGGTCAGGTCAGGCCAACCAGTAGGCGTCGTGACGGGTATTCGTAGTACGTGTCAACCGCCTCTGACAGCTTCGTAACATGTTACGAAGTCACCAAAACTACTTCGTTATTGTTCAAATGGTTGCTAAATTCGAATTCAGTTCCAAAAACTAATTAGCCTTGAAACATGTAAAACTCGAAAAAGTTAACCCGCGCCCCGTAGGGGGGGCCGAAACGGCCCCTCCCTGTCCTTTTCGGTCGATATCTCCTAAACGGCTGGAGATATCGCCACCAAACTTTCAGGACCCCTCCGGGCATCAATTTTACACATTGTGACCAAAAATTTTTCCAGGGGCTATGATAGGTTGGCCACAAATGACGTCAGAGTGACGTCATGTTCTGTCATTTTCGACCGAAAAAAGACCTTCGCGAGAAGACCTGTCAGGACTACAGCTTTGAAGATACAGAAAAATGATCCGACATAAAAGGTGTAGAATTGACAGGGCTACAAAACTGCTATCTCGAATTTTTGAAATTTTTGAGTTTTGACCCCCCAAAATCAAAAAAGCATTTATTTGGATATATTCGCCAAAAAATCCAAAAAGTTTTTTGAGTTTCGAAAAAACCGGAATATATGTGATAGTGCCTACCGTCTTCTAACCACATACCAAATTTCAGATCGATACCTCGTTTTTTGGCCAAGTTATAGCGAAAAAACTGTTCAAAAATGATGACGTCAAATTTTCAAACTCAATTTTTGGCAATTCTAGAACTCGTAGAGCAAAACGAAGACCACCATTAGACTCCCCGTGACGAGCTGCATCGAATCAATACCCATTTTATGCAAAAATATCAACTTTGAAATTTGACCTAATTTGACCTGACCTTGACCTGACCTTGACCTGACCTTCACCAAAACATGACCTAGGCTGGCCCCAAAGGCTGCCTAACCCACATAATCGCATTTGTCATGTAAAATGGACCATAAAACATGTATCACACGACACATTCATATTGTGACCCCCGGTGACCTGACCTCGCTGTGACCTGACCTGGTATCAGTGACCTCAGATAGCAAAGTATGTGTTTGACGAACAATGTACCATCGATGGTTTTCAATAAATTACCAATTTACTCGCTTTCACAGCACATTTCTTGAATCGCCTGTGAACGGTGAAAATCTGACCTTTGACCTAACCTGTGACGTCATCGGTTTGACCTAGGTCAATGAAATTTGGTCACAAGGTAGTTCCCGGGTGGGGCTATCGAACGCCGTTTGAATTTTGAAAATCGGCCGGTAACTTTCCGAGATCTTAGGGGGGGGGGCCGAAACGGCCCCCCCCCCTACGGGTGGTAGGGTCCGCCGGTAGCCCTACGGGGCGCGGGTTAACCGAGGTCACCCGAGGTCACCAAAGGTCAATAACCTGACCTGACCTTCAGGTGACCTTGACACCCACCCTAATGTATGGGAGTTACATCAAATCACATGTTTGAACGTTTGAAACCACGAAAAGCTTGCAAACGCGCGGCTAATGCGAGCCGACATACGCGAAATCGCGATTCCGGCCAAACATGGTCTCGGAAAAGAGGTCACAGGTCAAAGGTCATTTGGGTCAGGGTCATGAAATTGTCAGGGTAGGTGTACAATTGATCAATGCGAGGGTACTGAAAGTTTTGTCGCGATCTCATATATTCCAAATTCCGGGATGGGTGGACTTTAGCGTATTTCGTCTTTCGGTGGACTTGAAAACTACGCATGCTGGGAGGATGACTTTTAGATGGCAGCACACGTCAGGTAGGTAGCAAGAAAATATCAACTGGCCGCTGTCCTATGCCGGTTAGTTTTGATGTGGTAGCCGGTCGAATTTGGGTGCAAAAAAGCGTTTCGGTGGACTGTACTTTTAGGTGGACATATTTTTTTTGTCTTGAGATAACGGTATAAGTGGACATTTTTTTTGCTTTGAAATGTAGTGCATAGGTGGACGTACATTTTTGTTTTTAAATTGCACTTTAAGTTGACATATTTTTTACGTGCTTTATTACAAGCGAGCCAGCGGAGCGAGCGAAGCAAGCTTTCGTAGAATGGCGGAAAATTCTGAGTACCTATGAGCAACTTGGCAATGTATTTCAATGCGTCAACGACCAACGTTGAAGTGTACTACACGTGCGCACGTGGAGGGTGCCGCTTCCAGATCTCAGGAACGGCTGGACCGATTGTGCTCAGATTTGATACACCGATAGCGACCGGTTGGCAGGGTGCCGTGCAAAAGTCAGTTGGAAATACCCCCACTCAGTTTCGCACTTGCAGGGCTCATCCTTTTGCTCGCTCGCGTATCGCCCCGAAAGGCGTCTTACTGGTTCATTAACCCGCTCGGCGTTTTCACGCCCCCCCCCCCCCCAGGTTTTCGCTGACATCTCAAAAACGGTTTGGTACAGCTTATTATACGTCTTTTCCGTACAGGCTTTGAAAATTTTAGCTCCAGGTCATCAAAGGTCAGGTCACCAGGTCAAGTTAAGTGACCCAACCCCCGAAAATAAATTCAAGCACGCGCCCTGACCATAAGATACACGGCCCCACGGCCCCAGAGTTGGGGGGGGGGCAAGCTGCCCCTACTGCCCCCTCCCCGGTTCCCGCGCCTATGTTTGAGGTCACATTATTCATCATTCGACGCGTCTTGATGAGAGAAATGCAATGGTGTTTGAAATGTAGACGGGTCCCGCCTCGCCAACCCGGCTCCGACACACAACCTTCACAGACGAGCTTGTATTCCACAATCGCCGCTCGCGCCGGCCAACCAGGACTCTCTGAACATGCGAGCGACAACAAACCGAAGAGACATCGGAAATTAAGGTACTAGGGCTGCAACTAAACAGAAAATAAAGGAACAGCGCCGTAAGTTATTATGACAATATAAAATAAATACTTAAGTGACGTGAATTAATCAGATATAAAATCGGACAAGTGACATCGCAGAAAACAATAAGAAACAGAAGAGAAGCCGGTACGAAATCAAACGGTGCGAATAAATCGACCGACTATACCCGACCCTCTTAACGAAAAGAAGCGAACATCGGCAACAAGCAACATTAAATTCGGAGATAGCACATATCAAAAGGCAGAAGGCGACGCAACACAACGGCGCGTGGCACTCCGTCCGAGCGCGGCACTCAGGCCACGGCAGTGAGCGGCACTCATGGCAGAGCGCAGCAATCACCACGCTGCGCGCGGCAGCCACCGTCCGAATACGGCACGCTCAACAGCGCGGCGCGCGGCACCCACCGCGTACGCAGCGCTCGGCAAAATCACTGCACAGTGCGCGGCGCCATCACTGCAGCGCACGGCATCGCGCAGGTCGCGGCACCCTCGCCGCGGCCACGATCACGGGACCACGGAGGGCCCAGCCACGGGAAGCACGGCCGCAGAGCACGACCGCAGAGCACGGCCGCAGAGCGCGGCCGCTGGCAGCTCGGCCGCGGAGCTCAGCAGCGGGCAGCTTGGCCGCAGACGTCGCAACCGTGGAGCACGGCCGCGGACAGCACAGCCACGACAAAACTGTGAACAGAACGCATGAAAATAACCATGTCCTTTAGCACCGCTCAGCACTCCATTGAGACCACGCTGGACAGATTCGCCGATTTGAGGCGCTGGATGGCTGCATGCCATGTCGATCGGCGCGTTCCGTCAACAGAACAGCCAGACGGGCGTCCCCAACCAGCTTGCCACGACATTACTAAACAATTCGCCAGCAACGACCACAGCAAAATCGCAGTAAAAATTATCAGTTAGCAGCTGATCACGCGGCTCACATCACAAACGATGCACGATGAACACATATTTACAAAGACCTTAATTAGGGACAGAATCGGTTAGGCGGTCTCGACGCTCTCTCAGAGCACTGCAGGGCCGGCACCGGAGCTACTGACCTCTGTGCGTCGGTAGACACAGCAGCAGCTTGCCAGCCAGGAACCTCCCGGGCAGCGTCGACCACGCCAGACGGCGCAGGACTCGCCGGAGGAAACTCGTCGCCGGCGGGGTCGGCGGGAGCCGCGAATCGTTCGGCCCCCAATGGCGAGACCGCGACATGTACGAGTCGCCGCCCAGCGCCGCATACCGCGGCGGCGACGGAGACCGCGGACACGGCGGCTGTGCGCCATCGTCAGAGCCGGGCGACATCACTGCAGATCTGGGGACTGACGTGTCCGGGGCCGCGACTGGCGGCCCCGTCTGGGGTGCGCGTGGGCAACGACGGGCCGTATGGTTGCCCGTGTCAGTCATGAACACGTGACTCGGAGATAAGGTGAGGCGGGTATGGCGCTCAGCGCAGCCTTCGTCGGCTAAATGTGGACGCCATTCGACTACTGCGCCGCCATCGTCGGACTTACGCTGCGACACCCTGCTCGCCTGGGCCTACTTCCCTCCACTGGGACTGCTGGTGAAACAGCTAACCGGTGTTTAGTCAGTCAGTTCAGAGTCAGCCACTCGCCAAGGAGCTCTAACTCGCAACAACTACTCGCACTCCCATTACGAGAGGCGCAGTTCTGATTCGTGGTCGGTTCGTGGTCGTCAGGAATATCTACAAGCATCGTGCACGTGCGGCTCTTTTTCAGACGGCCAGTTCGTATATCGGAACTTAACGTTCAAAACAAGATATGTACTCCGTAACGGGAATGGTATATATGAACATCACAAATAGCACATAGCAATGCCAGTGACAAACATCTCTGGGCAAGCCGGTTTCGCGGAAACTCAAACCAGTGGCGGCATTCCGGTGAAATCGCCGGACCTCGGTGCGGCAATGAACAATCAGTGACAATGGCCAACAATCAGTGACAATGGCCCGGCGCGGCCGTCCATTCGGCCAGCCACGCGGCTCCTCCCTACCTCCCTCAGATCGGCCGGCCTGGCCTGGTCCGGAGGGATGGGCGGGCGGCGCCCTCGGTCCACCTGTCCGTCACCGGAGCGTCAGGGCAGCGCGGCCAATTGAACGCTACGCCGGTGTCGCCGCGTTGGCCGAAAATCCATCACACTTGTGGCGTGTGCCAGTCGTCCGTAGCGGCGCGGCGGCCGACTCGCACGGCGGCGGCCGGGGCCGGCGGCGGCCCCGTCCGTTTAACGGAAAGTTACGCGAAACACTAATGCTAAAAACGGAGGAATCAGTGCAGAGCTTGCCATTCGCATTCTTGCACCACTGCTGGGTCAATGTGCATGCCTGTGAATCAAGAGATATAATATCAACGTTTGTTCCAGAACACATCTTTCCATTCATGTAGAACGGATCATAGAGGTCTTATATACATAGAGATGCCCTGACGCTATTATCCTGCCGTTTCATTGGAGGAATTCAAGTTAGGGAATGTGAGCTGAAACATCGTGCGAGCTTGATTTCACGACTTTTAACTGACAAATTTAGCTTTACTTTGGATTTATTTCCCCGAAGGAGGTTTCCGAAAACGAAATAGGGTACGACTTTACTGAAATATTTTGACGACAGTGATGGTCGATGACCTTTGAACATCTCATTTTACTCGTTTTCTACCAAGGAGAATGCTGATACCATCGATCACGAGTGTAAAGCAGTCAGACGGCAGAAAATAAAGTGTTTCGACATTGGATGGGCATCTTCATGTAGATAAAATATCTATGGAACGAATGACTTAGAGATAATGCAGGCAATTACACCAGAACAAGAGACACAAAGTAAACAAGCTGATAATTATTCACTGGACCCACCAACGATAAATTCACAACCAGATTGACTAACCAGTCACACTAACGCCTTGACATACCTAGAATGTACTGTACATTGCAACCCGGGTCACATTTTGTTATACGATCTACAAGTTCCGATGATGAAGTTCGTTCAGCATGTGAATTCAACTGCGCAATTTAACCCTCGCCCGCACATGCCACTTTCCCATCCTAGAACGCACATGGGGGGGGGGGGTTGCCACCCCCGCGCCATTTCGTTCCTGCTGGAGATAGAGCTTCGCGGTAAAGACTAAAAAGATTTTTTTTTGGGAAGAGACGAATCCAATGATACACAGTTTTACCTTCTCAGGTCAGTCAGTGACCTTCCAGGTCAGGTCAAACAAAAAATGTTGCTGTTTGGGGTCACCGTTGGATATCAAGTGCGCTGCTTATCATATACCGATGACGCTGACGTATTGTGGTGCCAAGCCAGCAAGAACCTCTTTGTTACACTATCCGACTAGGTTTTGGCTGGCTGAGGCCATTTCAGGTCAAGTTAGGTCAAGGTCACTGATATGTGTTTGTATGTCTGTGGGTTTGTGTGTCTGTACAACCTAGGTCATCTAAAAACATTGCGTTTTAGGCAAGCTGAATTTACTTTTCGTGAAGTTCTTTGACTGTATTTTTGGTAAATGTTCGAGAGAAAACGTACTGTGCCGTGGAGGAGACGGCAGCGATCGGCGGGCTCAGCCGAGCCTCGCCGCCCACGTGGTGTACTGGGGCCCGCGTGGTCATCTGGGGCACATGTGTGCGATGACCGGCCCGACGCGCCGGGCCGGCCGCCGCCGGCCGGCTCGGCAGTTCGCGACGCGACGACGACGGCGACGCGGCTCCGCCGGCGCAACGGCGACGGCGTCGTACGATACGATTAACGTGCATTGTGTGGTGAATATTCAAGAAATAGACATTCATCAAAGAACTCTTTTGGTCCTCCAGTTAATGAAACGATTCGATCAGATACGCAATTATTAGTGAACTCGACGATTACACGAACACTTTGGTCTGCCGTGCTGGATCAGAGTGAACGATCACGATTCACACGAACATTTTGGTCCTCCGGGCCGGATGTATGTGAACTAGTGAGTGAATGGACGTACAGTCCGGACGCGAGTGCAGTGAAGGAGTGATGTCAGACGCAAAATCCGACGCGAAATCGAACGCCAGGTCGGACGCAAGGGCGGTCGCACAGTGTGACGCGAAATCTACGCGCAGCTCGCGGACATGCCATACCCGCAGCGAGACCTTCGGCAGCGCAGCGTCGTCCACCATCAGCGCAGCCCGCCGCCGAGCCGCGCTGAGCAAACTCGCAGCGGAGCAGGGCCAGCGAGCGGCCGCAGCAAAGGTGGAGCTGGCACGGCAAGAGGCGGAGACGCAGGCGGAGCGGGCGCGTCGCGAGGCGGAGACGCAGGCGGAGCGGGCACGGCAGGAGGCGGAGATGCAGGCGGAGCGGGCGCGGTAAGAGGCGGAACTGGCACGACAGCGGGCAGCTCTCGAAGCTCAACAGCTCGCCGACGAAGCGGAACGCCGTCAGCTGGAGCTGGAGCTGCTCGAGGAGGAGGAGTATGATCACCAGCCATCTGCCGTCGACCGTCAGGCTCTAGCTCGGCCTGCTGCCGCAGCTCCAAGTGAGCCAGCCGCCCAGCTGCGTGAGCCGCTGCAGCCGGGTGACAGGTCCTCACGCACCCGGGACTGGGTGGAGCAGTCCTCCCAGTACGGACAACTGGTGAGCGCGCAGCCATACGACGACCGTCACCAGCAGGAAGCACGACGTCCGCTACAGCCCGTGAGACAGCAAACGACTCCACAGCTGCCTCGAGTGACCCTGGATAAGTTCAGCGGCTCCGCTCTGGAATGGCCGAGATGGATCGCGCTGTTCAGGGCTCTAGTGCACGATCGAGACGACCTGACTGACGTCGAGCGCCTGACCTATCTCCAGGCTCATCTCACCGGGCCGGCCAAGGAATCAGTGCGCGGTATGTTGTGCGACTCTTCTCTGTACGGTGAGGCTATGCGTGAGCTAGAGGAGGAGTTCGGTGACCCTGCACGGGTCATTCACGCGACGATGAAAAAACTGCTCGATTCGCGGCCGGTGAAAGATGGTGATATGTCGGCTGTGACAGAGCTGTCACGTGACCTTCGCACCGCGGTTCGTGTGCTACAGTGCCTTCACTACGACGCGGACATCTCGGCTGCCACCAATGTAACAGCCGTGATCTCCAAGCTTCCTGCTGCGCTGGCTTTGAAATGGGGCGAGCACTCTGTGCACAACGGACTCGTCCGCCCCACGCTCCCCGACCTGGACAGCTGGCTGCGCGGCTACGTGGCTGCTGGGCGTGCGTCCCTGACCCTGACGGGCCACCAGCAATCCAAGGCCGAGGTCAACAGTGGGGAGAGCCGGCAGCGGCGTGTTTACGCGACTGCGCTAGCGCCGGCCGCGCCCCGAGAGGTCGTAAAACAGAAAATTAGTGCAATAAAGGCAGCGCCGGTCGCGAGTGAGGACGCATGTGTATTCTGTCAGGGGACACACGTCGTAGAGCGCTGTGACAGGTTCCTACAGCTGACAGCGAGCGAGAGAGCAGAGGTTGCCGGTTGTAACGGACTCTGCTTCAATTGTCTCGCGCGAGGTCACATCAGCGCCGCGTGCCCGTCCGGTACAAACTGTGGACACGAGAACTGTGGAAAACGTCACCACACGCTTCTGCACAACGGAGGCCGTGTGTTTCCACGGCGCAGTGCTGCCGGCAGCGCGCCGTCACCAGTGAAACATGTCGGCACTGCGGTGGTCGAGCCACCCTGTAAGGTGCTGCTGCAGACACTGCCGATAACGGTGCATGGTCCTGCTGGGCGCTGCACGACCCACGCGCTTCTCGACCTCGGGAGCCAGGTAACGCTGGTGACCGAAGGCCTGAGCGACCGTCTCGGCATCTCTGGACCCATTGACAGTTCGGTCCTGAGTACCATAAACGGAAGTGAAACTCAGATCATGCCGTGTGTCCTTCGTGATCGAGCCTGTCAGCAGCGGTGGCACACGTCACGAAATACGGAACGCCCAAACGACGCCGACGCTGAGTGTGTCAAATCACGCCATGGACTGGTCACGGGAGAAGGGCAAATGGCCTCATCTCGCTGACCTGGATCTGCCGAGTGCGACTCGAGGTCCAGTAGAAGTACTTCTGGGCGCTGACGTCATAGAACTGATCGTGGCACGTGAGGTGATCGACGGACCACCGGGTGCGCCGTGCGCCGTGAGAACACTGCTCGGCTGGACGGTCACCGGCCGCGCGCCGTACCAGAACCTGCCAGTCAACAAGGACGTGCACCATATCCGTGTCAGCGAGGAAACCCAGGACGCTTCGGAAGTGACTCGATGGCAAAACGTGCCAGGGTCACTGAACTCATCGAACATAGGCAGCCGAGGCTGCTCGGTGGCTGAGGTGGCACCGGGCGAAGAGTGGGGCCAAGGTCGCGCCATCCTGTCGCGCCGTCCTCAGGACCGGCCCGCCGCGCCGCCCCGCCCGACAGAGCGCCCGAGAGACGAGGAAACGGCCGAAATGAGAGCACCAGCCTGCGTCATCAGGGGAGCTGAGCCGGCCATAAACCCCAGCCGGTTCTCATCGTGGCTCAGGCTGCTGCGTGTGACAGCGTGGGTGCGCAGGTTCGCTTACAACAGCCGCAGCCGGGCAGCAGCTGATCGGCGGACGGGACCGCTGACTGCTGAAGAGCTGAGAGAAGCTGAGCGCGTCTGGCTGCTCAGCACACAGGCCGAGCATTTCGGCGATGATATCGCCGCTCTCCAGCACGGAAGGCGGCTTCCCCCGAACAGCCAGCTGCACCGGCTTAACCCCTTCCTGGACTCGAGCGGCCTTCTAAGAGTCGGGGGCCAGCTGCGCCACGCTCAGCTAGACTTCAAGGTCAAGCACCGGGTGATTCTACCTGCACGCGGAGACATCACTCGGCTGATAGTCACCGATCGACACAAGAAGCTCTCCCATTCTGGCGCAGACGGCAGAGCACGTTTTGACTCACCTGCGGCACCAATTCTGGGTCATCAGTGGCAGGGCCGCTGCGGAGCGGTACACACCTGCCTGCATGCCGTGCCGGAAACGGTCAGCCCAGCCAGCGCCGACGCCGACGAGTGACCTACAGCCTTCCAAGTGGGCAAGCCGGCCCCGGGCCGCACCTCCGGACGCTCACCACACGGGTGAAGTGACGCGCAGACCCGGCAGACGTGCAGCTCGACGAATTAGCGCTGGTGACAAAGGACAACCTGCCTCGCGGGCACTGGCTATTGGAGCGAGTGGTGACCGTGTTCCCTGGCGCCGACAGCCGAGTGCAGGTGGTCAAAGTGTTAGTGGCCACCGCCACTGGTCGGAAATTCGGAATAGGCGGTCGGTCTCTGGTCTCTGCCGTCTCGAGCGCGACGGTGACGGACAGTAAATGGACTCAGAGTGGTAATGTGCGCGTGTGAGACGACTGAGGTGAGTCGTTTACGACCCCTCTGTGCCGCCGGCGAGTAGTGTCGGAGTCTGGCCATCTATTAGTGTTTACTGCGTCCGCCATTCGCGGTGTTAACGTGTGCGTGTGCGAGAATGAGTCGTTCATTCTGTGCGCCGGTCATTTGTGTTTGGTGTTTAGCCATTAGCCAACAGCTGTGAGCCGTCCGACAGTCGCCAGCGTTCACACTGTCGCAGTGTCGCTCCTGGCTCATTTAGCCGGTTGGTCTTGTACGAGTTAGAAGTTTACAGCCTTAGAGTGTAGCAGCCTTAGATCGGGACCGACGCGCGGCGCAGCCGACGTAGTTTACAGTCTTAGCTTTAGTGGTCGTTTATTGCTGTACGATACAGACAGAGACACTGCCTGCGAGCAGCTGTTTGTTGTTTCGCTAATGTTTTCTCTCTTACGTTTAGAATTTCCGCGAGCGAGGCGAAAATTCGGGCCGGCCATGTTTGAGAGAAAACGTACTGTGCCGTGGAGGAGACGGCAGCGATCGGCGGGCTCAGCCGAGCCTCGCCGCCCACGTGGTGTACTGGGGCCCGCGTGGTCATCTGGGGCACATGTGTGCGATGACCGGCCCGACGCCGGCCGGCTCGGCAGTTCGCGACGCGACGACGACGGCGACGCGGCTCCGCCGGCGCAACGGCGCCGGCGTCGTACGATACGATTAACGTGCATTGTGTGGTGAATATTCAAGAAATAGACATTCACCAAAGAACTCTTTGGTCCTCCGGTTAATGAAACGATTCGATCAGATACGCAATTATTAGTGAACTTGACGATTACACGAACACTTTGGTCTGCCGTGCTGGATCAGAGTGAACGATCACGATTCACACGAACAGTAAAAGTTTCTCATTTCATGATCTAATTTAATAGGGACACATAAACAATCAGTGCACTTATCAGTATAGTATTAACCTTAAGTATTTACCTTAAGTAAAGGTCACGAAGGTGAAAACAAACTATGACAAGCGTTATGAAGCATCAGATCAATAAGATCGTGTACCTGTGCCGAGCTGTGCCAGGTCCTGTGCGGTGGCGGTGAGCTGCTGGTCAAGTGCTCCTGCTGGCGTCAGGAACCGTAGCGCCTACTTGACGTCGGAGCCGGCTGCCTGTTGGCCGTGGCCGAGCAGGTGGGTCGCTGACACGGCCAGCCGTAGCGCCGACTGCATTTGACGCTCCTGGCGGCCACACAGACAAAACACTATGACCCAACACAGTGATAGGGCACACGAGGACCGCTGGTGGCAGTGTGACAGAGCAAACACAACCGAAAGTACACAACAGAAAGTACTAAGGATAAATATCTCGATACCTTACGAACTGCGGACAGTGTTACTGGGCCGCAACTATTGTATGTAAATCAGATGTGTTACAGTTACGGAGATAAGAACAGCTTCTGAATAAACAAGCCGCAGCACTTGATGCCTCGGGTCGAAAATCGTCGCGTCGAAAATGGGCCCTCACTTAAATTTCACTTTTCATTCCACGGGCTGCGCGGGTGTAGTGGACAAGGCCACGCATGCTGGTGTACATGCTAGGATTTGACATGCGGTGCACATCTGTTTTGAAGCACAGAACGACAATAATTAAAGCGGACATGTATGGGGCCGACCCGAAAAACACGGTGACATCCAGCTCAATTGTGCTTGCTTTAGCGTTTACAATTACATGTATTTCCTGAGAATGGTAAAATTAATAAATAAGAACAACCGGTAATTACCAACAAGCTATTTATGCGTTATTCAGACAAATTACGTATTCTGAATGGTAAATGGTACTGACCTTCAGCATCATCGTCGAGATTGGCTCCAAGCGTTTCTTCGGTAGACAGTAGAAGTTTCGCTATTTTCGCGAGTTCTACTGTGCTGTCCGGTAGGCGATAGTATTTTCTGTGAACGGTTATATCGTGTCCGAGGTGTGAGGCAATCTGATCCATTTCATTTTCTGATAGGTTCATGATCTGGGCGATCGTGGCTAGATATTTGCGCATATTTGTTGAAGTGATGGCGTTTATGTCTCGGCAACCAGCATCTCTGCATTCTTTCTTCAGCTGATACCACCCGTTTACGAGTCTTCCTTCCGGAGCCTTTGAGAAGAGGAGCGCCTCTTCTGGTACACTATCACGCAGACCCACCGACTCACGGAGAGAAACCAGAAGATCGATCGCCCGTTTCTCCATCTGTGGTATGAGAACCGGCACAGTCCTTCCACGTTTGCCACGCGTTTTGATCAGGCACATCTTGTCCATGATCTGTTTCTCCAAGTCTGATAGCGAATTGACGACTGTCTCGTTTTGGGTGTACGCCGCTCTTGAAGTGTAATCACGGACACGAATCTTCATGGACTCTCCACCTCTACGTTTGTTGAACACCATGAGGCTGACGGCTGTTACGCACGCCAAGGTGTTGTATGACTTGACGCTAGGCTTTCTACTCACAGACTCCATCGTGGATGCCAGTTTGGTCTGAAGGTGGTTCTGTAGCCGTTTCATATCTTCGGTGGTTGGCAGCTGTTTCTCTGCGTTCTGTTTTCTCAAATTCAATGTTTCGAGTGAGGCGCGCCCCATTTTATCGCCCCATTCGTTTTCTAGCAGTCTCTTGAAGATGGAGATTCGGTTCTGCATCTCCGTGTTTCCTTCTCGCATACTGACGCCCAGTAGTACATGGCAAACCTTCCCCAACGCAGTTCCCACTGTTCTTGGCACAGTAGGCACTAGGAACGTTGGTGGGGTCAGCTTAGTGCCTTCCCTGTATCCCGCTGCTTGCTTTGTCACATGCACAATGTCGTCAAAGTATCGAGCGTCACAAAGCTCATCCATAGTGAGGTTTGGCTGACTCTTCCTGTCCCGTACATCTAGGAGAACTTTGGCTAGTTTGGTCACTCTGGTTTTTATTGGCTTCAAGTGGTTTTCGTTTTTTCCTTTGCTTTCTACGGTGTAGTTGGCATATGCCACCAACGTTCTGTCGCCACAAACTACGTCCCTTATAGCTTTGTCTCGTATCTCCCTTACGAACTCAGGTACGTCTCCTGGATCAAACCTGCGCAGCAGGTTTCCGCCTTGGTGGTGATCATTGCGTTGTCCAGACTGTCCATGTTGTCTGCAGGACAAACTGGATGATGCTGCTGCAGGTCCTCACGCAACATAAACGCCAGGCATCCAGGACATGGCAGGAACTTGGTGACTGGTATGTCGGGCTTCTTGGGTCTCCTCTTCAACATAAGTTCCCCTTTCCAGCTTCCAGTACTTCCAAGTTGTGCTCAAAGTTACCCCGGCTGATAAGAAGGGAAAACTTTCTGTCCTGTTGATCAGCTGTCCCCGTCATGGCATGCGCCACTTGCTGTTTGTCTGAATGTTTTGTTTTCAAATGGCGGCGCATTTTCTGTTTGATTTTCTTTTTACAAAACAGGCATGAGTTTATTGTATCGTACGTTTTAGCAGTAGGCGACACTCTATAAAAGACACCATGACTGGGGGATCCTTCCAGGTGAGGTTCATCCTCGCGAGATGTACTCGCTGTCGGTACATTCACTGCAGGTTGGGTCGTCAAAGTATCTGCAGCGGGTGCGGGTGCGGCAGGTGCGGCAGAAGCGTCTGCAGCTGCGGGTGCGGGTGGCAAGAGGGCGTCCGCAGATGCTCCCGCGACAGGTGAGTAGGTGGCGTGTGACTGCAGTGATGGGTTCGAATCTGCGTGATCGGGTGAATTGGGAAGAATCTCACCTCTCACTTCAGGAAATATTTCACACACTTCGTCGAGGGACCACGTCCGGTCAAGCATGTCAGCAGACTCGTTGCTGGGAGGCATCCAGTCAGGATCAGAGTCTGTGTCTGACACCACGTCATCCAGTCTGTCATCATTGGAATCATTTTGTACACGTATCGTGGGGAGAACTTGCGCAACCTTGTTAAATGACGACATGTTTTCACGCGTGGCCACCATCCGATTTCTGTGCCGCTGTAGCGGAGGCGTTCGCATTTCAATCAAAGGTGCGTCCTCTGCAGGTTCATTTGCAGCGGGCGAGTGTGCTGGTCTGTCTGCAGCGGGTGCGTCTGCAGCTGATGCTCCCGCCACCGTTTTGTCCAGGTCCAGTTGTAGGTGAGCGCCAGCAGAGTCCGGTACAGGTGCGTCTGCAGCTGATGCTCCCGCCACCGTTTTGTCCAGGTCCAGTTGTAGGTGAGCGCCAGCAGAGTCCGGTACAGGTGCGTCTGCAGCTGATGCTCCCGCCACCGTTTTGTCCAGGTCCAGTTGTAGGTGAGCGCCAGCAGAGTCCGGTACAGGTTCGTCTGCAGCTGATGCTCCCGCCACCGTTTTGTCCAGGTCCAGTTGTAGGTGAGCGCCAGCAGAGTCCGGTACAGGTGCGTCTGCAGCTGATGCTCCCGCCACCGTTTTGTCCAGGTCCAGTTGTAGGTGAGCGCCAGCAGAGTCCGGTACAGGTGCGTCTGCAGCTGATGCTCCCGCCACCGTTTTGTCCAGGTCCAGTTGTAGGTGAGCGCCAGCAGAGTCCGGTACAGGAATGCCGAGGTTTTCTGGAAGACGCAAAACATTAACAATAAAAACAAAGGCCAATTTTAGTGTTACTGCACAAAGCCTTAAAAAAATGTATAATGAGTGGCATCCGAACCAGCCTTTCACCGTGGGGATACATATAAGCACAGTGTACCAAAATCATATTTTTGCTTGGGTGTCAGAGGGGAAAATTGCTGACCAAAAAAAGGATGAAAGTGAAAATTGTCGGTCAGGTAAGGCCCAAAAAGAGTGGGAAAATGATCAAAAACATTAATCTATCTACAACTGTGACAGATGTAAAACAACCATTCCCGCAATTGCTCCTTCTCGGTGGGATTGGGAGTGGAAAATTGGGCTTGAAAACTGGAGGTGAGAGTGGAAAATGATCTGCATTTCGATGTCGTTTCCCACCCACATCTACAAATTTTGGGACACTGTATAAGCAAATTCTGGTTTCGAAGTTATGACCCTGTAATATGACAGACTTCCTCTTTTTAGGATCTGACCAAAGCAGTTAACGTTCGCAGGACGCTTTTCTGCATTAAATCGTTCTACATTATATTGACATCATTCTTTCTGCATCATACTTGCATTGGTACAGTTACACCAGTCAGTCAGGAAGGTCGCCCACCAAAACGTAATAGACAGCTCCGGGACAGGTACCACTACCAGGCCTAAACTGCTGCGTTTCATAACTACTAAAACAGTTTACAAAGAGCCATCTATACCGTTCAGACTTAACCCGCGCCCGTAGGTCTATCGGCGGAACTTACCCACCCCCCTTAGATCTCGGAAAGTTACCGGCCGATTTTCAAAATTCAAACGGCTTTGGATAGCGCTAACAGGGAACTACCTTGTGACCTAATTTCATTGACCTCGGCCTAACCGATGACGTCACAGGTCAGGTCAAAGTTCGAATTTTCACCGTTTACAGGCATTTCAAGAAATGTGTTGTAAAAACGAGTAAAAAGGAGCACCATTGAAAATCATCGATTGGGCATTGTCCGTCAAACACATCTTTTGCTATTTGAGGTCACTGATACCAGGTCAGATCATAGAGGTCAGGTCACTGAGCATAGGCGGCGGAACGGGGAGGGCACCGGGGCACCGTGCCCCCCTTTGATTTTGGCATTTTAACATTAGCCCTATGGGCGTTGCATGGAAAGAATGGGACCAAAAGTCGGCAGTGCCCTCCCTTAATTGAAGGTGTTACGCCGCTACTGTCACTGAGGTTCACAATAAAAGTGTCGTGTGATACATGTTTTATGGTCCATTTTACATGACAAATGCGATTATGTGGGTTAGGCGACATTTGGGGCCAGTTTAGGTTACGTTCTGGTGAAGGCCAGGTCAAGGTCAGGTCAAATTAGGTGAAAGTTGATATTTTTTTAGTTTTTACATAAAATGGGTATCGATTCGATGCAGCTTGTCGCGGGGAGTCTAATGGTGGTCTTTGTTTTGCGAGACCAGTATCCCACCTTAACATTATATTTGAGAGATAGCGAAGTTAACCCAGCAGGCGGTGGGCCTCCAGGCCACCTTCCACGCGGTGGGGGGACTTTATTGCCCCCTTAACGTTTTCCCAAAAATCTTCTAAATGTCTGGGTGTATCAAAACAAAACTTTTGCACACAACAGGATGCAAAAGTTTGCACACAACAGGAAACTTTTGCACACCTAGGGTAATGTGTACACAATTTTGGAAGTATCAAATGTCAGGTTAGATCACGGCAATGTCAGAAGTCAGATTTAAGGATCGTGATTTACCATAAGTGTAATGGGTTGCCAGATAAAGCTTAGATGTTCCTTGGCATAAAAGTAGAGACAATTTGTACTAAAATACAGTTATGCAGAGATATATGCGTAATAATAAGTGTTGACTTGACCTGACCTGACCTGGCCTGCCCTCTACAGTAACTTTGTTAAATAGGTCGTCATGGGTATCGTTGGAACGAAGGAAAACTGAAGGGAAATACGATGATGGGCTTAGGGATTTTATGTCATTCAGACATCTTAGTCATAATAATGGTTGACTTGACCTGACCTTATCTGGCCTGAAAGGATACCATTTTGGTATTATACTTAAGTAGTACACCAGTCAAAACTAAAAAACTCTTATGAAAAAAAAAAAAAATTCAACTAGTAGGTTAGCGTCTAGGGTACACAATATTAACCCGCGACCTGGTGGGGGGGGGGGGGGGGGCTATTTTTTGCCCCCTCCAGACTTTTCGATATATCTCCAGAACCGCTGCGCCGATCGTCACCAAACTTTCAGTACCCTCCCGGACATCAATTTTACACATTGTGACCAAAAATTTTTCCAAAGGCTATGATAGGTTGGCCGGAAATGACGTCAGAGTAACATCATGTTCTGCCGTTTTCGAACCAAAAAAGGTTTCGCGGGAAGAGCTGTCAGGCCTATAGCTTTGCAAATACAGAAAAATGATAAACATAAAAAAGCATAAAACATAAATAAACATAAATGACATAAAAGCTGTAGAATTGACAGGGCTACAAAACTGCCATCTCGGATTTTTAAAATTTTTGGATTTTGATCCCAAAAATCAAAAAAAAAATTTTTGGATTTAATAGTCGAAAAATCCAAAACGTTTTTTGAATTTCGCAAAAACCGGAATATATGTGGTAGTCCTTACCGCCTTCTATCCACATACCAAATTTGAGATTGATACCTCTTTTTTGGCGAAGTTATAGCGAAAAAACTGTTCAAAATTGATGATGTCAAATTTTCAAACTCAATTTTTAGCAATTCTAGACCCCGTAGCGCAAAACAAAGACCACCATTAGACTCCCCCGTGACGAGCTGCATCGAATCAATACCCATTTTATGCAAAACTATCAACTTTAAAATTTGACCTTTTTGGCCTGACCTTGACCTGACCTTCACCAGAAAGTGACCTAAGCCGTACCTGATAGTCTTATAACCAACACCATTGAGTTGGAAATGAAAAATTGGCCATAAAACATGCATCACACAACCTTAGTAAAGTTGGGTTCATGTGACCTGACCTGTGACCCTTGGTGACCTGACCTGGTATTGTCAGTGACCTCTAATAGTAACATATCTACTAGGCAACTGACGCCCTATCGCTGATTCTCGACAAAATGCGTTTTCCTTGGTGTTATAGCGCATTCCCTAGAAGACCCGTGAACGGTGAAACATTTCATCTTTGACCTGACCTGTGACGTCATCGGTGACCCCGAGGTCAATGAAATTTGATTTCCGTAGACAAATTTGACAGGCCTTTCGAACGCCGTTTGAGTTTTGCGGATCCGTCCAGTAGTTTCGGAGATACGAGGGGGAATAGTTCCCCCCCCCCAACCAGGTCGCGTTATAAACAGACCCCACCAGGGCGCGGGTTAAAGCTGAATGCTCCCAGTGACGTCACTAGGATGCAGTAGGTAGTAGGCTGCCATTCCGGCTACGCCCGCTTTAACATCCAAAAGGGTAGGGGTGATGGCTCATGCAAATCTTCTGGCACCGGGACCCTAACAGGACGGGCACTAGCAGGACGCGGGCCCCTGATCCTGACCGGCTGGCCCCTACGTAATTGATGGCTGGTCCCCCTCTGGTATTCTGATCCCCGGCAGCTCGGATCCTTAACAGTCCGTGCCCCGGGTATCACAGACCGACGAGCCCCCGAAAGGCCCGGTACCCCAGAAGCGCTTGGCACTTGGCTCTCGCCTATCGGGCACCTGGCATCCAGGGCTCCCGACAACGCCGGCAGCACAGGCCTTCGAGGACGGGCCCAGCAGCACAGGTCGATTCCTTTACTATACCTTTACATTTGACCGATTTAACTGTTTAACCATTATGCATATAGGAGGCGACACTGGTTATGGAGGTATAGTCACGATGAATGACTTTTACCGAACTGATACTGTATAGTTATCCAGATCTGTCAAAGGCAAATGCAAACAGGTGTAATAACATATGTAGACCATCTGGCTGCCCGGGTCCCTGGAAGAACGAGCCACTGCAGGCCTAGTTCCCCGCCAACATGGCCCTTTGAAGGTCAAAGCCCCTCCCCCGAAGACGGGTGGGTCTCTGGTACTTGGGCACTCAACGGCACGGGTCCCCTGATTGGCCGGCTCCCCGAAAGGACCCAGTTCGGGTAACCAGAAGGGTGGGCCCCATGTAGCTAGGACCCCTTTCAGCCCAGGCCTCTAGCAGCACATGGCCCAGAAGCCAGGCGCCCGGTCATCCGGGACCCCTAACCTCGCCTGCAGGTCCTCTTGAGCCACTACTAACTCCTAGAAATACAGGGTCCTTGGTATATCAAGGACCCCCTTCACGTGGTCCCTCACTGTTTGGTCTAGAGGTCTGCACCGGCCGGCTGCAGCCGCGGCTGGCTGCAGCCCCACGGCTGTGGGCCGGGGCGGCTGCAAATATCTCCAAGAACACGGCTACGGCTGTGGCCACGGCTGTGAGATTTCAAGCTCAATCTTAAGTACTCAAATATAAAATTTTAAATCCTTAATCTTACATTCTGATAAGCAGTCTAGCCTGTAAAAATCATGCAAAGGATGCCCAGCAACATTGAAAGTGGTGAAGCCTTTGAGAACCTGTAATGGTTTTACCATTTGCTGTAGGGGAGTTTGCACTCTGGTACAGAATACTAATAATAGGTACCAATTGTTCCTTCATCATCAAGAGCTTGACAGTTTCAGAAAATGCAACATGTTGCATTGTCACATCCCTCTCAAATCAATCTCACCTGGTCATTAGGAGAGCACCTTACAGCTATTGAAGACGAGCGTTCAATAATTCTTTCAGGTAATAGAAAAAGAAATCATGCCTAGGTAAAGGCAGGTAAAGGCTTAATAAAATATTATCTAAATACCTCTTAGATGAATTTCTGGATTTTCGGGCAAGTCCAATTACGTAATATAAAACTGGCGCTTTATGTTCTAACTGGTGTGTGAGTGACCGCTACCAGAAAATGCCGATCAATGAAGCCAATGGAAGTAGATTATAAGTGAGCATGAACCTTACTTACGGTTAATTCACATGATGGTGAAAACCCTGAACACGTAATTCACATGACGGTGAAAACCCTGAACACAATATTTTTTACGCGAGCTGTTGACTTTACTAACAAAATGACGTCTTCTTCTAAAAATGTAAAAATTTGATACTTGATCTTTGTTTTAGAGCAAGTTTTTAACTGCATAGCGTTATTATTAAAAAAATTATAATTTTTATGGCTGTTTATAGTGAAACAAAACAATTTATTGCCACTTCCTTTCTATTGACGTCATTAAAAACTTAAGTAAAATTTTTGATTGAAACAGGCAATTGTGGCTCGCACGTCCTTGGGGATTTGAGCGAAGATCATTATTTGGAAAAATCAAAATAGATGAATGTTTTTTCTTTCTTGGATGCTCACTAGTGTT